AGGGGGGAGGAAAAGACTGCAAAGCCATAAAAGTTGGCAGGAGGACCAAAAAGCAGCTGAGGTGTCTGCAAAGGAATTTAATTCACTTTTCTAAAGTCACTGTGAGCTAAAGTCAACTGTATCAGCTTCCTTGTGGCATTCAACTTTTTCAGTGCTGAAATTTCATACTTCTACTTGATCTAGTTGCCAATATTGCTAACAGCAATAGGATTTCAAAAAAAAAAAACCCCTCACTCCAGGCAGAATCTCTCCCTTTTGCCCCTCTGTGCAGACTAAGGGCACGGTGGGGAGAAGACAGAAGAGCAAGGTAAGGAGCAGTCCTCCCTCCCATCAGATTAAGCAGCCTAAATGGGTGCGTCTAAGTGTGTTTTAGATTTTCTTCTCTGTAATTAGGCACTGCTGACCTTTGTGGATCAGGCCTCTGCTGAGTACATTCTCATATAGGGTATAAAAATATACCTCATAAAGGATATATTCATAGCAATCACGTCGTGGCAACTGGAGATGACTTATCACTTCCCGTTGCCATGGTTTCCTACTGAAAACAATGACTCTCAGTTACCACCAGCATATGCAAAGCTGACAGACATATGCCAACAGCTGGAAGAGAACACATGCTGCGGTTCTGTACCTACACCTAATGCAAATGGGCACCGGCGCTCATGGAATGAGCTGCAGTGGAACCAGAGCAGTCACATTGCTCAGGAGTGGGGAGAGGAGGCACTGACAGGACGCATGAACAGCTCAGAAAAATTACAAATTTAACTGCAGGCTGCCACGTACAGTGCTTCATCTGTCAGGTTTTAAATCAATTACTACGTTTGTAGAATCTGCTAAAATCACTTGAGCTGGGCAATTAAAAATAGGGGAGGAGATGAGGTATTTTGCAGAGAAGTTGAACATTAAACGTTTTGTCTAAGTTGTGGATGGATTAGTTCAGCACTGCCATCTCCTCACTGCACCCCAAAAGGAACCTTGACCATAAATCCTACTCCACATCTTCTAAACAACAGACACTATTATTTTCACTGTCCTCGTGCCAATGTTTTAGGTATTTTCAAACCTGACTTAACTGTTATATAGTAGCTAGCACAGTATAAGCTCCTTTTCACAGTTACAATATACTGAACAAACTAGGATGAAAGAAGGGCAGAACAGCCCAAAGATGTAGCAGACACCTGCGACCACTGATGAGCTCCAGTGGAAAAGAGATGCCATGGACCAAGCCTATGTTCCTAGCAAAGAAAACCAAATTATCCTTCGCACAGGAAACACTCTCTGTGTTCCAGCTGAACAAGATGAACCCTCCTTACAATTTCTGAAGTTCTGACACACTTTTTTCTATATTTTAGTTCCCAGCATTTCCTTCTTCAAACTGCCTTTTTAAGTATTTTTGACTACCAAGAATATTTAAGAGTTGATTTTTCTTAGGTGTTGGTCTGAAGCACCGTTACTGCACCCTGTTGAAACCTGCTGTTTCTGCTACTTATTTCAGGGCTAGGGTGTGATTAGTTTTATTTAGAGAACATCCTGCTGTAAAGGAGCCTGGAACTTCACAAAAGGTGCTGGAATGAACCTAGCCCAAATAGAGCAACTTCAAAGTAAGGTCAAGAGGCACTTATTATTTGGTCTCTGCACACTTCAGCGGCTCACTGAGCTGGTCCAGCAGTACACACTTTTGTATCCAATGGTTAAGAAATTTTCATATCCCGAAAGAACTGTGAATAAAACTGTACTTTTACGTGCAATCAGTCATGCTTTCTCAACTGTTCCATGACATGAAAGGAACTGGACAGCTCTTTGAAGAAAACAAACAAAAAAAAAGCAATCCACTCAGTTCAATTTACCCAACATGCAGCCAGCTCAGGCTGCAGAGCAGTGGCTTGGGAGCTCCGGAGGGAAGAGGGCCAGCAGCGAGCCAGGAGCTGGGCTCTGCCGAAAGGCTGTTCACTGGGTGGCACCATTCCCTCTGACTCCCGGCTGAACGAGGGGCACAGCCTGCTTCCCAGGGCAACGTTAAAAACCTGAGCCTGGTAATGCCATCTTTAAAGATATTTTGGCACTCTCCATGTGCCCCAGTCACGTTTCATCTAGATTTCTCCTGTAACTTCTGGCTGGAAAGATACTGTTCTGTTAAACCCAAGAAATCCTACTACAGACATAGCAGATATGAAGATACATGCACTTCTAGTAATACTGTGTTCCACCCCACAGCTGGCTGCATTTCAGTGTCGATATAAAGCCAGTAAATGAGTTTTGAACATGCATCAATCTTCTTGCATTAAAAAAAGAAAAAAAAAAAATCACTAAAATATTAGTAATACATGGGGGAAAAAAAAAGCATGAAAAGGATAGTATTTCTCACCTCCCATCAAACCTGTGCTTCAGGAAGTCAAAGAGAGCTTTCTGCATCATGTCTGTCACCTTTGCAGAGGTGAGGAAGATTGAACAGGGAGGATTGACAGGGAGAAAAAGAAGTCAAAAGTAAGAAGAGAGGTAAGTAGAAGGTAAGGATACTGCCATCAATCAATACCTTTTACAGGTAGCAATCATTTCATTTTCATGCTCTTGGCAGCACGTTTTGTAATAAATACTTGCAAGTTTTCTGACTCATTCTCCAAAATGCGGAATGGAGGATGTGAGAGCTGTCACTCTTTCTGCTCGTCTTGACTTGCACTGAAGCATTAGAGCACACCTCACCACCTTCCATAGCAATACCATTTCCCAACAGGCTTCAGAACATGTCAGAAGCATATGGGACTATTCGGGTTGAATAGATCATTTGCTTTTTTCCTACAGTAACATTATTAGAACTGGCTTAAAACTTCAGATACAAGATTTATCGTGTTGGATGACTGTTCTAACAGAAGAGGAAAACTATTCTCAGAGAGGCATATAAGCAGAAAAAATGGATGCTTCCATTCCCGCACATGGTAAAGCATCCGAGAGATGCTCAGCCCCAATAGCTGTCACCTACTTTATTGAATGAGCTCCTTGTCCTTTTCAGGACAACTCAGGCTGACACCTATTATCTGCCAGTCTAGACAGGAACTTAATCAAAGCCCTCAGGCACCTGGCAGTTTATTTCTCCTAGGTTATTTTTCAAAATGGTTCCTTCAGAATTCAATCAGAAAAAAAATAGTGAAAAGAATTTCTCCATGTAGGCTGCAAAGTAAGATCAATGCATTTCTGTTATGTAGACCAATATTTGTAATTGAAATTAAATATTCTGCGTTACCATTTATACACCTTTATATGTTTAAGATGTCATGTTTAGCATTATTTTCTTAAACAAAGGCAGGATGCAATATTTGTAGAAGTATGTATTAACAAACAGCCTCTCTCCCCTCCAAACTTGAGAGTGCCTGGGCAAATCAATCTGTGGTGCAGGCACCATGGAAGTCTTACTCCTGTCAAGAAATATCACCATAAAATTAAAAGGCAGAGACTAGAACATGAAGTACCTGCTTTGCTAAACTACACTTTCAATCATTCTTACAAAAAAACCAATGCAAGAACACCGCATTATGCTAATAATGGTACCATGTTGTAATCTTCCAAAAAGAACCATTCCAATATGTTTAATAATATCCTATAAAGTACTAACAACATTAATTAAGCTAAATGAAGTGTATCTTTGATTTTATGTTCATGTTCATTTAGTTTCTAATTCAGCAAAACACTTAACAGATGGTTAAGTTCACTAAAATGCCCTGCTAAAAGCCAATGCTCGTTTATCACGTGTTAAATGCTCATTTGAATCTGCAGCAGCCTTGAAAAATGGGTGTCCTGTTTATCTGCGCATGTTATCATACCTATTTCCACGTTGAACAGAGGCAAATAATTTAGAAGGGTTAAAGGTTTCTTTACATATATATTTCAATATACTAATAATCTTTAGAAAAAAAGGTGAGGAAAACATGCTGAAATAATAATAATCATTAGTTCCCATATTCAGTTTCAGGTGCTGGAGAATAGTCCAGCTACTTCATTTGCCAACACTGAGTTTCATGGGAAGATGTGAAGTTTTTATAAGTGAAAAAAGGAAAACAACGGGGAAGCTTCTTCAAAATTTTTGCTAATTAAGTTCCAAGCACGTGCTAGTTTGACTAAAATTTTACATGTATACAGAAGTCTAGCTAGTTAATTTGACTGCTCCAACTTTTTCTTGTAGCGGGCACAAATTCTCTTTTTCTTACTTGATTTAACCAAGAATTACTGTACTGAAAATAATGGATGTGCACTGCGTTTGAAGTAGTAAAACTGCAAAGAGAGCACGGGTGTACTTATGTTACCTACCCTTCAGCTGAGACATCACAAGTAACAGACACTGTTGCAAGGTAGAAAAAAAAAATCCAGCTGATACCTCACCCAAATGGTGCAAGTGCTAACTATGCTCTTAGTTCTTATATAACATTTTTGACAATTATTTAAGCCAAGATCACTTTAAATTATCATAAAACAGTTGCACTGGACCACACAGACTGAACATACTAAGGAAGATTATAGATAAGAAAATACTAACTAACTGCAAATACCTGGAATACATACCTCATAGCCTTTCAGTGATGGACCCACCAAGACAACAGGCCTCATTGATGGTACTACATCATATGGGGGAACATGTTCTGTCTAGAAGAAGAAAACAACCTTTCAGATCATTAACCAAAGATGATCTATATGAAAATCCTGGGAATTATGTATTAGAATTAAATAAAATGAAAACAAAAGTACTACTTACCACTTTTTGTTTCTGTTTTGCTAAAAGACCAAATGAGAACTTGGTTAAAAAACATACACTGTGTATAACAACCATAACACTTGCAAACAAAAATCCCTTTGTCAATGCACTTTTGACTTCTCTCAGTGCACCTCGCATTTAGTCAGCCCTGTTTAAATTGGTCATTCATTCCATTCTGGGGCAGCTGCCACTCTTCCTGAGACTTTTTCCCAGTCCCTTAGCAACTACCGCATTTCTAGAAATAGATGTCTTTCTCCACCTCCGCATGCAAGCCCTTTTCTGTAAAACATCTTAATAAGTCAGCAAAGGGGGGAAACCTGCATTTTTTCATATATGGTTTTTAAAAGAAAAGTGTTAGAAATAGCAAGAGTTTCCTTAAATAAAATTCTGTCTTACCTGTGGAAGTGGGTGTGGCTCGAAACGTGCCAGAAACCATTTCTCCGAGACTTGAAGAAGAATTTCCACTTGATTTCCTATGGTATCAGAAAGCGCCCCATTAACACCAAGCGCCCAGAGATGCAAATGTGCAAGGTTTTAGGCAGCAGCTATGAGAAATTGTCCCATGAGAAACCTCATGGTAAAGGAGAGCCTTCACCCACACTCATGCTGCAAGAAAGCTTCCTCTGAAGTGAGAGGTGAAGAGTACCAGGCAGGGACATGGGCAAACCAAAGCGTCTGTAATTAAGTACACCTCCATGTCTGGAAGAGCTGCGTACAGGCTACAAGGGGAGAGCAGGTTCCACTACAAACTGAGCAAAGATTTTTCCGTGATCTGCCTGTAGGCTGGGAAATGGAGCAGCTCTAGACATAGACATCAGCTAAACTCAGCGCATAGCCCAGCTCTGCATGAGATCCCCCACCCAGCACTCCTTTGTCTTGTTGGGTCTCTCTACCAGTACACGTAACTAGCCAGACACATCTCTTGGGAGTTTGGGATCTTAGCTGGTGGTTTAAATAGCTTCCGTTGTGTAGCAACAGTGGTTTAGGCAGCTTCTTTTTCCATTCGCTGTACCTCCCTGCTTCCAGCCCCATGCAGTTGTGCCCCTGTGCCCTGCCCTCCTCTCCCCATTTGATGCACCCAGCACAAACCCGCAGCAGACTGGAACAGGAAACTGGTTCGGGGAGGGAGAAGATGTTCAGGTGAATCAGCTCTCTAATGCAGCTCATTGCACAAGCAGCTGAGGAGGAGATGGGAGGAGGGAAGGACAGCTCAGGGCAGAATGAGGAGGACTGTTTAAGCAATCTGATTACTGCAGGTGACATAGTCCCATGGTACAATCCACGTCTTTAGTACAGTATTTAGTATTTTTCATTACATACAGACTGACAAGCAAGAGGATACTAGTCCTAATCAATATTTTGTCCTTGCTTTCTTGCCATATGCTCTCCAGAGCAGGGATTGTTTACTCCTGGACTTGGCAAATCCTTTGCAAACATACACTAGACTCTAGAAACCCTCTTTAATAGGTAACTTTTCACTGCCTTACTCAGACAAAACTAGAATTCTTCTTCATTACATAGAGCCTTAGTATCACAGCTAGTCACAGCTTTTAAAGAAATCTTAAGGTACAGATATTATATGATTATATCTAACAAAGGCACTCAAAACCAAACTATTTTATCATTATACATTACTTTCAATTTTATCATACAAATCCAGGAGTGTTAGTGCAGACTACTTAAAATCTTAATAGATATCCTTTACAATATCACCCCGACTCTTTCATACTTGATTTTATTCCTAATATTCTCCATAGGTGATATTAGACAATATCTTTGCAAGAATTGGTGATTCGGTGGAGTCATGCCCATTCACACAAGCAGAGAATTTTTTTAATATGCTGTATCTGAAACAGTATCCTAAATACTCTGTTAGTGTCCACCTCTCTGAATTAGATAATCTTCTTTCTGTACATTGAGATATACTGGCTTCCTCTGAAGCTATTTCAAAAATTATAAAAGCCATTTGGAAAAAGCACAGTTAATGCTGTTCAATCATTCTAAAAACAATTCCCCAGATGGTTTATACTTGAAATGATTCCTGACCTTGATTAAGTATATTAGTATGCCAATTCCCTGACAGTACTATACAGGCTAAATTATGCTCCCCTTACTGCTCTCTATTAGGTCCAGATTCAATTGGCTCACGTCTCTTTACTCTGCAGTACTAAAGGTTTTGTTCTCCTTGTTACCTGTGTGAACATTTAAATTTCGTTTTCAATTAGTGGGAATAATACACTAGTAGTAAAGTAATTTAAAAAAAAAAAAAAGGGAAAAGTATTTTGTGTATTCAGCCAATAGAAGAGTGAATTCAGTGTCTGAACCGAGATTATGAGAAAACAGTTTTACTTTCTAGACCTGTGACCAAGTTTGTATTTTTCCAGGGACCTGCAATCGCCAGCTCTAGCAGCATGGAGACACAGAATGGTCAGGGTGGAAGACGAAGAATAAAGGAAGTTGAACGACAAAGCTCATCTTATAAAGTTTGAAAAGTCTGGTTTTGGCCAAAATGGAGAGAAAGAAAAAAAGAAAGAAAAAAGCCACAACCATAAGAACATAACAGGTGGGAAAAAATCTGGCAGCCTTTGAGCACCAAGTTGACTTAAACCCATGGGGATGTAAAACTCTCTAGCCCTTCAGAAATTTCTGTCATTACCACTGTTACTGTATTACTGATCTTTCTTAAAGGCAATACAGATTTTTTCTTGTTTCTCATTGTCAATATCTAACACGTCTATTTTCTGCAAATATGTATTTTCATTTGGAATCCTAAATCAAACACTCCTCCAAATGTACTGCAATAAAAAAGAATCAAGTGACCTTTGAAAATATTGACCAGTGTCAGAAATGATTTTAAATTATTTTAAAAGGTTACAGCATTCTTACCCTCCATGGAAACGTCCTCTCTTCTGCTCCTGTTGAATGCGGATATTCTCCAGTCTAAGAGGGCTTGGAATAAAGCCAATCTCGCAGCCCTCCTTAACCAGCCTTCCTATCCACCAGTCATTATTATATTTCTGGAACACAGAAAGGTTACTGGCTTCAGTTCAAAATGCTCCATGTCCGAAACTCCCTTATTTTGTTATCCACAATCCTGAACTCCATACTGGTCAACGAAACCAGACTCACACTGACATCTGAATGCTGGACAATCCAGGTGAATTTAAGTGAAGTTAAAAGGTGCTAGGCACTATTTGGAAGGTTGATGTCTTCTTTGCAGCCAGACAGTGGAAAGCGGCATTATCTGTGGCAGTACTGGCTTCTCTCTTAACTGCCCCAACACATCCTGCTGTGACTTTTCCTCTGATGTCGCCAACTAAGGCGTTGAGTGTGATGGTGATTTAATGAGACAAACCAATTTCTGGTGAACCAAGGCCACCAAACTACCTCACAGCTGCCATATAAAGCAGTCTAACATACAAATAACACCTTCAGATCACCATCAAAACCATCATTATTGGTTCCTTGTAAAATTTAATGGTCTACACCAAAGATCACCACCGCTGCCATTTTTCCTTCCGCATTTCCAGGTACTTCTACAGATGTTATTAACATGTTATCCCTTTGCAAAAACCTTGTGTGGTGGAAAAGCTCTACAAACACCATTCTAGAAACAAAAATAAAGAAAGACCAACCTATCCAAAACAACACTGAAAACTTACCAGCTCCAGCAACAAACCAAACCCGTATCTGGTTAATGGCATGGCAGAACTCCAACCAAAGTTGTGACACCTCTCTACAAACGAGGCTTTTATAGTGCCGCTGCCTAGAAGTAGCTAAGCTATTTGGAGGCACGCACTTTTAAATTTATGACAGTTGAAGAAAAATTCACCTTTAGGAAGAAAACCTAATATATACCTGAAAGTATAAAATTTAATTTTATCATTAGCCTTTAGTAACATACATTTTTCTGCATTATTCAAAGTCCAACTTTAACAATGGAAAGATGAAAAGCGATCTCGTAGTGGATATCGTAGTAGAAAAGCATTTTTTGTAGCTGGCTGCCAGCAGAGCTTTTGAAGAAAAATATCTGAAAACCTTATACTCTGTTATGCTTCATTCGGCACCTCAGTGTTCAAAAGAAATATTACTTTTTACAACCAACTTTCAAGTCATTAAGACCAGCACGAGTGTACCAATTTTGTTTGCATGCCTTGAGGAAAAAGTTATCACAGAAATCTCGTCTTAAAAACTATCAGTTCTCTTGGCTCCATATTCTCAGGCACTTAAGTTCTTGCAGAAACACATAAATACATGTCCTAGTTGTCAAAGATACAACAGTGCCTAACTGCTGTATTTGAAGCCTCTGAAACAGAGCCTCAACATCTTTGAAAAATAAATTAGCCTTTTTATTAACCCATTGTCCTGGTTTCGGCTGGGATGGAGTTAATTTTCTTCCTAGTAGCTGGTACAGTGCTGTGTTTTGGATTTACTATGAGAAAAATGTTCATAACACACTGATGTGTTAGTTGTTGCTGAGCAGTGCTTACGCTAGTCAAGGACTTTTCAGCTTCCCATGCTCGGCCAGGTGCACAAGGAGCTGGGAGGGGGCACAGCCAGGACAGCTGGCCCAACTGGCCAATGGGGTATTCCATACCATATGATGTCATGCTCTGTATATAAAGCCAGGGAACGAAGAAGGAAGGGGTGGACATTCGGAGTGATGGCGTTTGTCTTCCCAAGTAACTGTTATGTGTGATGGAGCCCTGCTTTCCTGGGGATGGCTGAACACCTGCCTGCCGATGGGAAGGAGTGAATGAATTCCTTGTTTTGCTTTGTTCGTGCGCGTGGCTTTTGCTTTCCCTATTAAACTGTCTTTATCTCAACCTACGAGTTTTCTCACCTTTACTCTTCTGATTCCCTCCCCCGTCCCACCGGGGGGGCAGTGAGCGAGCGGCTGGGTGGTGCTTGCCACCTGGGGTTAAAGCACAACACCCATACATGCACACAAATATTAACATACACAGCTAAGGGAAATGCAATCCTTATACCCTCATCTTGAAAACCTGTCCTCTTTACACAGCTGTTATTTATGCAAGAGGTTCCATTATTTTATCATTTCAACTTTTTAAGTATCTATTCTTCATGCTGTTATGACCCCGATTCAGACAATGTCAGTAAGCAAAGCTTCATTTTAAGTATGTTGCTTCTGCTTAAGTTGACAGAACTATTTACATTCTTTAAAATAGACAAATACTTCAGGATCTAGCATTCTGCTGTTGTAAATCAGTGAAATCAATCAATGGATTTAAACCACTGTAAAACTTGAGTCCCAGGAGCATTACCCTTTCTATTTTGGTTCTACATGTACAGCTTGAACATGGGAATTTTTCTTCCATTAGCAGGTCATGGACCTCTCACTGATGCCTCTAGACATGAGATCAGAATCAGCGCTATGTGAGAATATCTGAACAATAGAAACGATAACGATGCAGCAAGGAACGCAGGGCTATTTGCATTAGGTCATTACCTCCCATATGTTATTCTTCGCATTCAGCATGTGGGAGGACTACAGTTCTTTCCTATTGGTTGCCATGCCCATGATTTCTTCCGCATTGTCAGTAATTGTTGCCACTTCATCTTTTAAGTAAGCACATAATGTGTAGTCTTGTAGGAGACAGATGAGACATACAGGACACATTCTCAATATAGCAACTCATCAGTTACTGCTGATGTTTCATCCTGTCAGCAGGCTGACCTTACTTCTTATCTAGTTTAGCATTATTCCAAAATCTGGAACCATGCTTGTTCTAGTCCAAGCAAGCCTGCCAGATCGTTGAAAAACAAATTCTGCAAAGTCTTTTCCCATGGAGCTACAGACTCCAGCATGGGCAACCATTCCTGAAATCCTACTGAGTTACAGCCACAGCTTCAGGCAAGCTGAAGGTTTCAGCGTTAACAAAGAAACTATGCTAAACCCTTAGCAGAGCTGACAAATACCAGTAAGCCAGACGGCTTACAGTTTAGTGGCAATGTGATCCTGGCCATTTAGATCTTGGAAGAAAACTCGCAGAATGCCAAGACATGGACTTGGGACACTTCTCTGGAAAAATGTACAGGGCAGCACGATAGCAGGTTACTACATTAAATTCAATCACTGGCCTGACAATAAAGGCAGCCACATCCTGGGAAAGCCAAGATCAAATACTTGTTTTAATGGTGATGCACAGAGTTACCTGAACGGCTGATTACGCAGGACACTGTACGCTAGAAAGATAGTATGTCAGGTAGGGTATATTTCTGGTGTGCATGGGAAAAAGTTGGGCAAGGCAGCTGAGAAAGTAATCTGAGTGCTGTAATGGATGCAGCTGTCTGCATTCAACTTCGAGTGCTAGCAAAGGACCTTTTCCTGATGGGAAGCAGGGTTGGTAGGTGGTGTACAACAAGGGAGTTCAGGGGTGGTGCTGGAGAGAACAGAACACATTCTTGGGGAACGAAGAGGAGGGGCAACCAATTCTGCATGCAGAGATAGGACGAGAGGAAATGGCCCCAAGTTGCGCCAAGGGAGGTTTAGACTGGACATTAGGAAAAATTTCTTTACCGAAAGAATGGTCAGGCCTTGGAACAGGCTGCCCAGGGAAATGGTGGAGTCACCATCCCTGGAGGTATTTAAAAGACGTGTAGATGAGGTGCTTAGGGACATTGTTTAGTAGGCATGGTGGTGTTGGGTTGATGGTTGGACTTGATGATCTTAGAGGTCTTTTCCAACCTTAATAATTCTACGATTGGCAGATTCAGATTCAGTGCTCCACTTCTTCAGCAGGGGTTTATAAGCATTGTTTCACACAAATATTAAAAAAAAGAAAAGAAACACAGAAAAGAAACAAATAAAAAAATCCCAATCAAACTTCCATCTGTTTGCAGCAAATTGAGAAAATGGAACAAGGGAATCAACTGCCTCTCCTATGTCCTTCTCAGGGAGAAAGAATGTAAAGCAAAACCCCCTGTTCTACCACCAATCTCTGCCTTTAGAGGTGCAGAAGCAGGTGTTTTCCTCCTAAATGTGCTCAGTCTATGGGAGATCAGTACTCTGAAGTGATGACAGACACATGTTCAAAGAGAGAGACAAATGAGTATTGAACACCCTAAAATAAACCCAGAATGCAGAGATGAAAAAATGTTTTTGCAAACTGCAAGCCTATGGACAAATCTACAAAAAAACAGGGGTTTATGCAAATTTGGAGGGCTCACTTCAGATAAAGAATTGCAGAAAATATACTCAACATGCAATAAAATGTATTTTTCTCTACCAAAGCCATACTCAGGGCCCATTTATTCCCATTCCTTTTTCCTTATTCTTTTATCTGTCCTCTTCAGTATTTTATTTTCTTACTGTATTATTTTTAAGTCTTATTTCCTCCCTTACAAGCCTTTCTGGTGCTTTATGAAGACCTGGTGTAACCTGGTGCTCCTCCACTTTTTGATCAGTAGAATCCCTTTCTATTACTTAATCTCTGATCCATCACAAACTTCATTTGATGAAAAGAATCTGAATGTACCATGTTGAAGGATATTTAAAATACAGCAAGATGTTATTTCCTTCCCGTGACATGAAAATTCAAAAACAAGTTGGTAACATCAAGCGTTAAAAAAGTGTAAGATAACCACCCCGGGGTGCTGGAACTCTAAAAAGGCTTAAGTATCACCACATCATCACTAATCAGATGGATGTGCTGTGCTTTCCTGCCTCCACTCAGCTCTTGGCTCTCTTTTTAATCTGGTATGGCTCAGCCCTGACTGCTCAAATCGCAGTCCTTGGCATGGAAAAAGATTCCCTTTCACATCCCCTTTTACTACTTCTTGGTTTTACCTCTTTGATGTGTAGGAAGTCCTTGGCATCAAAAGAGATAGCAGTGCTTGGGACAGGAACATCTTCATCCAGAGCTCCACAGTAACTCACATTAGTCTTAACAGCAAATGCTACTGGTTTGGACTACAAACAGAAACACACATCACAAACAGCGGAAACTTTTCTGAATCAAGAATTGATTTGTTGTACCAAATTACCAAAAACCTAGCAGAGGACATTTGCCAAATACATCAAAATTCAAAGATAGTAATTTCACACAAGCCAGAAGAGTTCAGCTCACTAGAGAAGATCCCCATTTATATGAGAATATTTACACTATATTCCCCCAAATATCTTGTCTGCAGATGACTTGACTCAATTACCAAACTATTTCAAAAGACAGCAGCATCATTATAAACCAACAGTGTGAATTTTAACACTAGGCAAAAGATAAATGCCACATAACTTAGTTATTACTGAAGTTGAAAAGAACACACCTTTGCCCTTTCAAGTTGTATAGCTGCTTGTTGTTCTCTTTCTTGGCGGATTGCTTCCCTATCTTCTTCCAAAGAGACATCAGAGTCTGAGGGTCTGCTTGTGTACGAATCTGCTGAGCCCTGAAATTAAATTCGTGTCACTAAGAAAACACATGTAAGAAACAGAAACCCCCTCCCCAGTCAGATTCATAAAATACTTTAAAAATATTTGTTTCTTAATTTCTTTGAGTGGACTTTACATATTGTCGCTAGCACAAAAAATCTGCAGAACTTAGCAGAGAATTAATCTGGCTTTACCGATCAGATGCACTAAGCCAAAGACAAAAATCACAAGAAAACCTCTCTCTCACAGAATCTCTTAACTTTCTTACCGATACAGAGAAATACAGCTCAGTTGTGGGCACTGTCCAGAAATCTTTGTAATATTTAAATCCTGTTTGACAACCTTAGATTCAAGATTGTCAAGGGCTAGGTCACATCAAATATAATTAAGGTATTACAAAGCTTGGTTAGAATCACCCCTCCCTGTACATACAGTACCATTGTGTAATTACTCCCCTCCCTGCCGTGGGTGCCACTCACACAAAGCTTTGTTCTGTGCTTCAAGAGGGGAAAAAAAGTGGCAAAAGTCACATTATTAAAAGCTACTCCACAGGGCAACACAAAAGCTATACAATGATAGGAAACGAAAACAGCAGGTACAAACAGAAGCGGAATGCAGCAGGCTATAAGGGAGGAAATAAGGTACTGCCACAGTTAGATTTTTGTGTCTGGGACATTATTCAGGATGCCTGGCAACATCTGACATGTGCACGTGGCTCTCTTTTTATAAAGCAACCTGACTTCAGCATCCCACACAGCTGATCTTTACATTTGCGTGGAGCCAACAGAAAGACAGGGGTTTAATCTTGCAAAACAGATCAGGTAAGGTAAAGGAAATGTTTAGTCATGATGAATTTGAAATACCAATCCCCCTCTCTCCAAAACCTCAAACAAACACTTGACTCGTTGTAGGTCCCTTCCAACTGAAATAGTCTATTCTATTCTATTTTATTCCACTGACCCAGAAGCCTTGCAAGACTAGGACTTGAACCTAGACTTCAAGGAGCACCACTGATGGAGGTGCGTACGACTGGGCATTCATACAAAAGGGGAAGTAAATTTTCACTATAGGAGGAAACTCCTACTAAGATCTCAAAATCCTGAAGTCTATGCCTAACTTTCCACTCAAGGTAAATGCTGAACAGGAAATGTGTGGCCCTTATTGAGCCATTTCCCAAGCAAACGGAATTTTTACTAATAAATTAATATATCTGTCTGGTGAACGATGGCCTTTGCTTAAGCCAGACTCCAGCCTTGCAGAATCCTGTTCTGTTCAATACAGCATTTGACTAATTTGCGCTTGGGTCATTAGTCTGCTCCCAGCACAGGAGAGGTCTCTGTTTCACCCTCCCCAGCCTGATGCTCTGCACTGGCTGCAGGTGACATGCAGCAATCACACACTCCCCAGGTTCTGCATCACAGCACTCAGCTGTGCTGGTAATGGCTGCTATAAAAGTCAGTATATAAAGTTTAGCGTAAAGAGTTGCATATAGTTTGCATTGCAGTCTAACTTTTTAACCTACGTATTTTGCATGTCTAAGGAAAAATAAGTACACAAACACACTATCATAAAAAAAGAGAACTTCAAAAGGATCAGGATAACGGAGAGCTGCAGAAGGATCCAGCCTCACTACTGTGCTCAGTAGGAGGAATATATGGCAACGTCTAACCACTGCTAAGAGACACTGTTTCTGTTTTTAAATAAGGGAAGGGAGTAATGCGCTGGACTACGTATGCTGTATTGTATTATATAACCAGTGCAACAAATAATTGCTAAGTCATTAAACTTCTAGCCACAAATTGAAGACATATAGATACACATATTTATATACCTATAGCGCTCCAAAATCTGTAACTCTATACATGTTCCGAAAGGGCCATTCTACAGCATTATGTCTTTCAAATTTTTTTTCCTTAAATTGATATATATCCTGCAGCACAGGGACACATAGTCTATGTAATCTACCATAGAAGTCAATATTCTTACTCTCCATGTAAACTAACATATTCTTAAATATTGATGTGACTACATATCCATTAGAAGACTCTTGGCAATGAACCACTGATGAGCATATGCTCTCTTCTTGTTACATACTCATAACTTGGCCATAAGCATGGTACTGTCACTAGGGAGGGCAGATTTCCTCTATGTCAAGAACAGCTCACCCAACATGAGCTAACACACAGCTATGATCTTAACAGACCAGAAAAATTCCCTCCCAGGACAGCCGGCCACCCTGCACCCCACGCATAAGGTGAGCTGGAACGGGCAGCGTGCCTCTCAGCAGCCGGGTGTCTGCAGACACACACATTTGGGGTCCTGTGCTGGAACAAGTCTAACATCAACAGGCTGAAAACTAGAAATAGCTGCTGGCAACAGCACAAGCTTTTCTTAGCTCGGAAGCTAGACATGCTGCTCTTCCTTCTGCTTCCTTCAGGATGTAGCAGAGACCAGGGAACTCAGCAGCCACAGCACTTGGCTAGGGGTGCACCAAAGACGCCTCTCGGGATGCTCAGTGGCTGCCAGTTACTCCTCTCTCCCCATCTTGGGGGCAAGATTAAAACTTCATCTACCAAATGCATCACTTACTGAGGCAAAAGAACATTTCTCCCCTGATCAAAAGCGAGAGTGCAAAGCATGCCAACTCATCACACCTAGGTGACATGGGCAGCAGGAAACCCCCCGCCTAGCCTACTGTTCCAACCTACATCTCTGTTCAGCAACTGAAGGGGAAGTCTATCAGTGGGAGACTTAACTTGTGTGGTCAAATATTCCAGGCCTAAAATTATAGCCCGTCCCCTATACCAGAGCCTGCATTGTCCAAAGCAACGAAAAAAAGAAAAAGGAAAAAAAACCTAGAAAAAAAAACCAGACCAAGATTTGCAAAGACAGACCAACTTTGTGGTAGAGAAGAACAGCTTATCATTTATTGCCCACTAAACACTCTGAAGATACAAAATGCTTTATAGCTGCTGACCATCACATTTTTTACTTACAGACAACAAAGCTTCAATAGCAGCAGAAAGGAAGAAGGAAAAGTAATCACACTCTCCAAATAATAAATCAAAAGGCATGATAATAAACACAAATAATATACTGCAGTAGGAATGGGCTTCTTTCCAAGATTTTAGTCCTACCTGGAGTAATACACTGCAACAGGAATGCACCACATCCTGGCATGCCTGAAGCCTGAGACAAAGCCACTACTGCTGTCATCGAGAGTAGCAGACACTGCTCCTCACCCACGTGCTCTCTGACCATGTCATTTCCCCCTTAATTTTCTATGTACTGAAAGGTGTAGGAGAATAAGGCACAGAACACATCACCGACAGGACAGATACCAGCATCACACACGTAGGTGGATTGCAAAAATCATCTGTATGGGGAAATGGTGAACAAAAAGTGCACAGGCTCACATCTATGTATTTATTCAAGTCCTCTTGATATGATTCACTGTAGCTCTGTAAGGCAATTTAATAGGAATAGATACCTATGCTGGATGCACAGTTTCCCATACTGGCTTTTAGTGATACATGTTTGAGCACTGACCTATTTAATGCTGTCAGAACAAAGTAGTCTTAACCAAAGCAGCTGATACTGCAAGGATACCCCAGGCTGCTCTTCAATGCTAATCACTGCCTGTACGCCAAATGATACGGATTGGTACAATCACATCCGCATGATCCCTTCTCTTGCAAGTTATGCCAAATAGCAAGCGGCTTATCTGAAAGATGCAGCCCCAGGACTGTGACTCATGTGATGCTGAACTGCAGCATCACACTGAAAACAAGGCAAATAGTGGCAAGATAGACAGAAAAAGCAGTCCAAGGTAAGTAATGAAAACTGACATTCTATAATGTACCGTTAGTATGGGCCGAGGAATGCAAGTGTCAACGTTCGGTCAGAGCAGAAGACCAACTAAGATTAAGGTTTATTTTTCTCAGCTCCATCACTGCCCCACACTGAGCAAGATTACACAGTGCTATCGGGTATGCACATTTACCAGATTGCAAGCCATCACACTGACTTCCTGCTCATCTCCCATGCCTCTGTTAACATCACCCTTGATTTCTGCACTCCACCTTCACCAGCCAAGATGCATTTGTAGTTACACTGGACTCCTGGCAGCAGCGACTTCTACTCACAAAATGGGACTCAGAATCTGATTAAGCTTCTGGGAACTACTATAACACAAGCAGTCCATAAATGAAAAATAACCCTTGTTATCCTCAGAAGTCCAGCTTTTGACTATTTTTTAAAATCATGCACAGACAAAAGTATCACTTCTTGTATTTAATTTTCGGTTCTGTTTAAAATTTTTGTTTGAAGGTCAGAATACTGACAGCAATATTGTGCAATATTGACAGAATACTGTGCAACAAGCCAACACACTCATGCCTGTACAGCACCAACTGCAATGAAGTTCTGGATTGACAGCTCATATTTGTCGAAACTGCAATAGATGTGATAATACTAAATACTATGATGCATCCATGCTCTTGTCGCAGCTGGGAAAGTGTAACTGACTGCCTGACCACACAATGAAAACCAAATTATGTTAGTAGCCTTAGGGAAGTGAGAGGAGAAGAGAGAGGAAAGAATGCATTCCCCATCTTTTCCTGTACACCAAAACTTCTATCAAAAAGACTCTTTCATTTCTTTATTTTCCTATTGCTTACAGCAGCAAGCTGATAATTTGGGGCATATCGCATATGTCCACAGTTTCACATTTGCACATAATATTCAAGGACCAATTATCATGCTAACTGTTGCCTAATCTCAACCTCACGACCCCCTGGGAGATACAGGAACTTAGTGAAGTGGGAGCATATGCAATGAGTTCAAGTGCACACCAGATTTGACAATTTGAAGAAAACAGGCTTTGCTAGATAATTATATTATTTAAGGCAATGAAAGACTCATTTCATATTTCACAGCCTTTTTACTTTGGGCTTCTGTGAATTCATTTTTCTTGCAATTTATTATTTATTTTCTCCCTCATTCATTTTCCTCTCTC